CAAAGATCTATACACACCCTTGACCTTTCTTACTTGGCCTGATTTCCACAAGAACCCTGAGAAGGAGGCAAAGCAGGACTTACTCGGCATCTCACCAACAAGGAAACTGAGGCTCAGATTCCTTCCTTACTGAGGTTCAGTAACCAACTTACCAACTTGATACGAGAGCTCTTTCCGCTCCTCCAGACTACCTGTTTGTGGTCTGAAGTGTGAAATGTTGACAACGAATGTCTCTCACTTGAGCAATGTGTTATTAGCAGAGGATGCACCATCACAATCATTAGGTACTTCATAAGCATACTGATCTGCACATATTCATCTGATTTTGTTGTTATGGTTAATACTTTTCTCTCCTGGAGAAAATACTCAGCACCATGAGCTCTTCTGTTCTGCCATTCATTGTATTAAATTAACACCTCAACGCGTAGATTAAAACTTAGAGGTGAAAAATCTAGTCCTTGCAGACAAGACCAGATATCACTTATCTTAACATTTATTAGGAATACTATTTGAAAATGTGACTCTGATGTTCATTGGAAACAAAAGTATTGCATTGTTTGGAGGACTGTCTTACTCTGCTTCTGGGCCCCATAACAAAATACTGCAGATGGGGTGGCTTATAAACAGAAATTCACCTTCTCCCTGTTCTGGAGGCTGGAAGTCCAAGATCAAGGCACCAGCATGGTCGTGTTCCAGTGAGGGCCCTCTTCCTGCCTCATCACCAGCATCTTTTCCCTGCATCCTCACACAGTGGAAGGGAGAGGGTTTTTCTCAGGCCTCCTTTGATAAGACACAAATGTCATCACGAGGGAACTGATCTCATGACCTAATCACCTTTCCAAAGGCCCCACCTCTTAATTCCATCACACTGAGTGGGCGGCCTAGGATTCCAACATATGAATCTGAGGGAGACAGGAAGAAATCTCAAAGAAAGAAGTTGGAATTCAGGAATTTCTAGAACTGTGTTAAATCTCAGAGGCACCTTGCTTTTCGTATTCTTTTTCTGGATTTAAAGAACCAACTGTGAGGGGCCCTGGTGGAGGATACAAGGGACCTCTCTGTTGGACAACAGTAGACCTTGAGATTGGAGGCCACAATACACTATATGGAGAAAGATGCACAGAGTGAGGTTGGTACCTATGGGAAACTCAGGGAGCCAGCAAGTGATGAGGCATTTCTGACTTGGCCTCTGGATGAAAGGATATTCTGACATGGACTAAAACACAAGTCATTAATATTTCATCTCCTAAAACTATAGCACATTTGTTCTTGGGCTGGTATCTACATATTTTATAATGATGAACTCTGTATAATAACTAAGAAAGGCTTTTCAGTTGTTTAGCAAAGTAGAGTTTAGTGTTGTAGACGTATTGTAACTGCAATGTAAAATAATGGGTATTAACTTAAATCTGGACCAAAATAAAGTAGAAAAATAATTTATCAGTTTTAGCGTGGGATTATGGGTGAGTTTTATTTCTGTAAACATTTATATTTTTACAACTTAAATAAATAAAATTTTTTTCTGTCTTAAAAAATATTATATCTCCTTTATTAGCAGCACAGTGGGTGATGGACATCCTTCCCTATTTCTCAACCCTAGCCTCAGTCCTCAACTCAAGAATTTGGTGAAATTGAGTAATCAGAAATAGAGTGTGGATCCAGGATGTCTGTGGAACACATTTTTTATAACAAAATAATTGTATGTAATTATATATTCTTACTTATGTTTGTATAGTGAAAGTGAAATATGCATAAGGAAAAAAATCTAGGGTATAACTCAGACTATTATCATCTCTAGGAACAGAAGAATTATAAAGGACAATCACTTTCTACATTATATATTTTTGTAGATTTGAACTGTCTTCAACAAGCAACTATGTCTTTTGTCATCAGGCAAAATCAACAAACAATGAAGATAAATGTCATCTTTAAATGGTAATTTTTCCACCTGCCAAACCAAGCAGATACCCGCCCATGAAAACATCTCTTCCCACAAAACAACCAACAGCCCCAATTAGGGCCACAGAAGAAACTGAATCACATCTCGCCTTCCCGCCCTCCTGCCAAGCTGCAGTCACAGGCTCATCCTCCTGATTTGCCCCAAGCCCACTTAGGACCAGGAGAAGAAGCCCCCTGGCAGTATTTTCAGTTGGCAGCTTTCAAATGTCAATGGATTAAAATGGATCAATGGATGAAGAAAAGATGGTTTCCCAGGCTGTCATCAGAGGAGAAAGTCCATCCTCTGTGGCCATTTTCGTGTTTCCCAGAGACTCAATAGAGAAATGTGTATAATATATAAATAATAGAACATTGAGGTTGAGGGAAGAATCAGGGAGTTCCTAATGACCTGACGAGAAGATGAATGAGGGGAGAAATAAGGTGAATGTGAAGTGATCTCGTTCTGGATGGTTATTAGAATTATGAGCAAACAGCCCCGGGCTTTTAGGTCGAGTCATCCTGCTCCAGAGTTACTGTTTGGAGACACACAACGGGAGGGGAGAAGCTTTTCATGCTCAGGCATCTCGGCCAAAATGTCAAGAATGGTGTCCAGTTTAAACACTGACTTAATAACATTAGTGTCTCCTGCCTGAGCCAGGAAGAGACCTCTGTGGTGCCAGATGTCAGCACACAATTTCTCTCTCTGCCCAGCCAATTCATCTGAGTCTCTAAGTCACACGGGGGTGGGGATGGGGGTAGGGGTGGTGGGCTGGGGGTCCACCCAGGGAGCCAGGTAACAGCCTAAGGCGTGGCAAGCTCCAGGCCTCTGCTCCAGGCCCTCCATCAAAGAGTCCAGAGGAAATGCCAGCCGTCCAAACAGTTCAGGAGTCTGCCCCACCTTCTCTAGGCAGAGACAAAGGCCTGGGAAGGCAAGCCTACTGTCTGACTCACCTCTTAGCCCGAGACCCAGGTTATGGGCAAGAAACTGAGATGTAACAGAGAGGCTCACAGAGCTAGCAAGGGCAGAACTGAGTACCAGAACTCAGGGAGAAGATATGCGGGGGCCTCTTGCCCTGAGTACTGGGGATCCAGCTCTGCTGTGTTCAGTCGCTCAGTCGTGTCTGACTGTTTGCGACCCCATGGACTGTAGCTTGCCAGGCACCTCTGTCCATGGGGATTCTCCAGGCAAGAATACTAGAGAGGGTTGCCATGCCCTCTTTCAGGGGATCCTCCCAACCCTGGGATCGAACCCAGGTCTCCCGCACTGCAGGCAGATTCTTTACCATCTGAGCCACCAGGGAAGCCCAAGAATACTGGAGTGGGTAGCCTATCCGTTCTCCAGGGGATCTTCCTGACCCAGGAATCGAACCAGGGTCTCCTGCATTGCAGGTGGATTCTTTACCAAATGAGCTACCAGGGAAGCTACTGGGGATCCAGCTGTGACTAAACACCCACCCTTCCTTCCCCTGCCCCCACCCACCAACCTCATAGCCTGGAGGTGAAACTGACAAATGACTGCAAATAAAGATGCATGATAACAGCTCCAAAGGGAGGATGGTCTGAGAGCCACAGCCGGGAGACCAGAGTCAGACTGGGGCTGAGACTTCCTCAGGGGAGTGGTATTTTAAGCTGGAAGCTCCAGGCTGGGGAGGAACCGAGTGCTCCAAACTAAGGAAGAGCATGTGTCAAGGTCCCGGGCTGGAAATGTCCTTCAGATGATTACCAAGTGGAAAAAAAAAAAAAAAAACGTAACATGGCTGGAGAGCTGTAAGCAAGGGCCAGAGTGTCGCAGACAGGACTGCTGGGGCCAGGGAGGCAGCGCAATGAGCAGCAGCAAGAGCCTGGGCTTCGGAGCCTGCCAGTCTTGGGTTCAAGTCCTGACTCCACCTGCAATCAGCTGTGTGATCTGAGTAAGTGACTTAACCTCTCTGCGTCTATCTCTTCAAACACACACAGAAAAATAGGGAATAATCCCTAGGTCTCTAGGTCAACGTCAGGGTTAAATATAGCACACACAAAGTGCTTTCCCTGGTGATGGTAGCATTTGGGGGGGCCATGTCTTAGGACAGACTCTGCTAGATTGCAGGAAGGCCAAAACCATGACATCTTAGAGGTGTGATACAATAAAGGTTTATTTCTTACAAAAAGTCAGATGTGAGTCAGTCTGCCCACCTTTGTCTGGAATATTTGGCTCCAAGTTCTCTGTGGCAGAAGCAGAAAGATGGAGGGAGCACATCAGTTTTTGACTACCTTAGCCCAGAAGCAATCCTGGTAGCTCAGCTGGTAAAGAATCTGCCTGAAATGTGAGAGACCTGGGTTCGATCCCTGGGTTGGGAAGATCCCCTGGAGAAGGGAATGAAGCTACCCACTCCAGTATTCTGGCCTGGAGAATCCCATGGACTGTATAGTCCATGTAGTTGCAAAGAGTCAAACACGACTGAGCGACTTACACAAGGGTTTCCTAGGTGGTGCTAGTGGTAAAGAACCCGCCTGCAGCTGCAGGAGATGTAAGAGACACGGGTTTGATTCCTGGGTCAGGAAGATCCCCAGGAGAAGGGATGGCAATCCACTCCAGTATTCTTGCCTGGAGAATCCCATGGACATAGGAGCCTGGCGGGCTACAGTCCACAGGGTCACACAGAGTTGGACACGACTGAAGCGACTTAACACACACACCCAACAGGTGTCAATTCTGCTCAAAGTCTATTGGTCAGAAGTCATCACATGGCCCAATCCAACTGCAAGGGAGTTGAATTTTCCTCTTACATTGGGAGGGAATATAGACACTGGATGAGTACCAACTGCTATAAGCCACATGAAATTTAAAAATTCTCCTAATATCATTTGACCCAGAGTTCTTACTTTCTTTGAATTCTCTCCAGGGCCCCACAGAGCCATGACTTTTAGTGGGGAGGGCAGAACTCAGGGACCTGGGGATCATTTTGTTTGTCTTGCCCTGACCCATTTTGCCTCTCCAGTCCACCCCCAGTTAGGCGCCAACGTTGTCCCACCCCGAGACACTGACTGAAGGATAGGGCTCCCCGGCCGCCACCGCAGGACAGATGCCCAGATCTGTGACCTCCTCCCACTCTCGCCTGTTCGGGAGCCCCAGGTACACGCTGCAGATCATCTAGGCTGAAACTTCTGCGGAAAATGCCCTTCCTGAGCAATTAGGCCAACACAAACAAATCGGCCCAGAAAATCAAGGTTCCCACAGACACAGGGACTTGATCTTGAAGGAAGACAACATTTCCAGGCTTGTACCTCTTAATCAACACAATTATGCAGAGGCCTCTGCCAACAGTGCCCCGGCTAGTCTCTATCCAAGCCGCAGATATTGCTTGAATGGTAACAACCTAATTAGAGGAGGAAGGAGAGTGAGGAGGGAAAGGACAGTCACCCTGCTCTTTTTCGGGAGGCTGCATGCACACGTTCAAAGGAGCCATTCGAGCAAGTGGAGGGCCCTCCAGATCCCTGAGAGCTCCAGGTGAGAGGGAAATGGCAGCTGAACGCTAGGAAATCACCACCACCTCCTGCAAACAGTGTACGTTTCCTGCTTCTAATAAGCCTATTTTCCCCCAGCTGGAAGGGGCCAGCAGTGGCAGGGAGGCCTTTGATGTGAGTCACTGGAAGCTTGATGCTGGCGCGGAGGCATTCTGTAGCAGGCTGAGCCCTTTCATCTCAGCAAAAAGGATCACCTCCCACAATCGCGAGCCCACCTGGAAGACAGGTCTTTTACAACAGTGATGCTGGAATCAGCTGTCGAAGGAAAGCAGATGGTTCTGCTTTCACTCCTCTTGATCAAACTAGCCTGGAAGCTGTGTGGCTTCCTGGAAGCAGAAAGGCACGGGTATGGGTGGGGCAGGTGTGGGGAGGCAAGTTTGTCACCGGAGAATAGATTATGCAAATATATTCATTGGTAGAAACACAAATGTTCTTAAGGAAGTCATCTGACTCAATTAGGAAAAATGATTTTTGATCAATGAGCAGAGTTAGACCAAACTCCCCAGAAGAGTCTGCAGCGTTTCCCCCAGTCACTGCCAACGAGGCAATTCCCTCTACTTGCAGAGCCAAGGCCCTGCTCAACTGAGGACCGCGGAATGGGAGGGGTGGTCACACTCATACCAGCTGTTCACTCAGCATTCCTGAGAAGCCAGGGCAGAACCAATGTGTTCATTCACTCAACAGGAGGTAGCAGCAGATCCTAAGCAGAGCCTGGGTGGGTGACCAAGAAGTCCTACACACATACACATTCAACTTTCCCTCAACTGACTTACAGAGCAGCTAAGGAGACTTCTAGAAAAAGAACTCAAAGGACGTCAGCACCTGGGGCACAGCTACCCGAAGGCTGTAGGCAGGCATGTCTGGGAGCTGGTGCAGAGGTCAAGTCCAAGGAGGGCCTATGGATCCAGGAAAAGAGTCCACCCAGGAAAGGGCCTGGCACTTCAAAGGCCTGAGGACCAGCGAGGGGTGCTTCCGGTGGCCGCTTCTCCCACCTGCCCCCCACCCAACCAGCCCCAGGAGAGAGCAAGGCGGGGAGGCAGAAAATCACAGGAGCTGTAGCACCCCGATGCCCAGGCACCCCTGCTTTGGACTCCCTTTTAAAAATGCCAAACCTGACAAAGGGGACAAAATTCCCCGCAGCAGGGTGACAGGTGGAGTCCTGAGCAGGCACGGATGGTGGTCTCCATCCTACAGCAGCCCCCCTACAGCAGAGGGCCCAGGGCCAAGCTAGTCTCTCCAGATGGGGGAGGCAGGGCTTAGCCAGAGATATACACTGTGCTGCCGGGGATGGGGATGGGGCAGAAATAGTGGCTGCCACAGCACCATGGTTAGAAAAAGCCAGAGGACCCCATGGGAATGCATGTGACAGCCTGAGACCTGCTGAAACCCTAGAGGCAGGGAAAAGACAGGGTCCGAGTTCTCGTGATTCTACAGTTAGGGGCACAGGAGAGTGGGGTCTACATAGTAAGGGGGCTTCATCTGCACCCAAAGGCTGTGGATGTCTGGCTCACACAAGGAGTGCTGACACTCGCTGTGGCCCAGGTCTTGCACTTAGGGAATATGGGCAAGACCTTCACCATTTCTGCACTCGAAGTTCCCAGCCCAGTGGAAGTGAAGGCAGATGAGCCCAAGATGGCAGCAAATGTTGCAGAGTCTCAGCCTAAAGCACTGACTGTGAGGGAGCAAAGAGTGATCCATGCTGCCTGGGTGAGTGACCGAGGGCTTCTGAGAGGAGGTGGCATTTGAGTTGGGCCTTGAAGACAAATAAGAGCTCATGAAGTGAAGTTGGAGGAAGAATAAGCCAGGCAGTGAGAACCTGAGTGAAGGACTGCAGGTGGAGGGCAAGGACTTGGCAGAGCTGGAATGCCCAACGTCTCACCTGGGGAAGGGGGGCAGGTGGTGTGGGGGAGGAGGACAGCTGTGAAGTGCCTGAAGCCATGCTAGGCTGTTGGATCCCCACTCAGAACCATGTGATGGTGTCAGGGCCTCCTCTTCTCCGTCCTTTTGCAGTGGACACCCTACAGACACCTGGCCCCCAGGGCTGCACTCAAAGTGGGAGAGACACCGCTTATGACAGGGACTCCAGAGTGATCTGCTGTCAGCCTGCCGAGTTTGAGGAAGATCAGAGGTGAGTGCAGGACAGAGCCACACAGCATTGCTGCTCTTTCCTTTCAAAGCACACCTCCACCCCACTGTCATCTCTAGTCCCCTAAGAAAAGAGCTGTTGTTGTTCAGTCAGTCATTTCCAACTCTTGGTGAACCCATGGACTGCAGCACACCAGGCTTCCCTGTCCTTCACCATCTTCCAGAGTTTACTCAAACTCATGTCCATTGAGTCGGTGATGCCATCCAACCATCTCATCCTCTGTCATCCCCTTTTCCTCCTGCCTTTAATCTTTCCCAGCATCAGGGTCTTTTCCAATGAGTCAGTTCTTTGCATCAGTTGGCCGAAGTACTAGAGTTTCAGCTTCAGCATCAGTCCTTCCAATGAACATTCAGGACTGATTCCCTTTCTAACTTCCCCTATTTCTCAGTGGGAGGGGGAACCCAGCTTCCCCCACGCCTGCCCCCACACTAGCAAGTTTCTTTCCCCTTTCACAACTCCCTTTCACTGCTCCCCTTTTTCAGATGAGGCAATGAGGCTCAAGGTGGCTGAGCTGCCTTGCCACCCAGTGAGTATAACTCAGATGGAGAAAGGGACACACACTCCAGAATGACCATGGCCCCACATCAACCTAGTTCAACCTCTAAGGTAATTTGGCCTCTGTGAAGCCATGAACCTTTTCACTCCACAAGGCCTGGGAGACCCTAACCAGGACCCAGGGAATGGGTCCTGAAATCCTACAAGGATTTGTCCGGCCTGAAACTGTTTATTTATTTATATTTATTTTTGGTTGCGCTGGGTCTTTGTTGCTGAGCACGAGTTTTCTCTAATCGTGGCAAGCAGGGGCTATTCTTTGTTGCGGTGTTCAGACTTCATTGCAAAGGCTTCTGTTGAGAAGCACAGGCTCTAGAGAAAGGACTCAGTAGTGGCACGCAGGCTTAGTTGCTCCACGGCACGTAGGATCTTCCAGCACCAAGGATCAAACCCACACCTCCTGCACTGGCAGGCAAACTCCCAACTACTGGGCCAGCAGGGGATTCCACAGGCCTGAAAATTTAGCCAGTGATGCAAACTGCTGGCCAAGGAGAGATGCAACGGAAGTTGTCACGGGGTCTCCATTTCCAGTGCACCCTTTAGTTGACTGTCCTCACCGTAACTCACCAGAACTCAGGTGACATCCCAACTGTCCGCATCCCAGGCCACACACCCATCATTTCCCACCCGAACCGCTGTAGCTGCCACCTAACTTCTCTCCCTTCCTCCCCTTATCACTACCACTCACTTCCTCTATTCTCTATGAGGCAACCAGGAGAAATTTATGGAATGCACACCTGACTGTATTCCTGTTTAAAACCCTTTCAAAGATCCTCATCACTTTAGAAAAAAACTGAACTCCTTCGTGACCCACAGAGCTCTCCCTGATTGAGTCTTGCCCCTCTCCATTAGAGCCATACTGGATTTCTTTCACTCAGTTTAAACATTCTCCATTCTCTCACCTCTGGACTTTTGCACATGCTGTTCCCTCGGCCTAAAACACTTTTCCCAAATCTCCACTATCTTCTGCAATCCTTTAAGGCTCAGCTTAAATATCACTAGCCCTGGGACTTCCCTGGTGGTCCAGTGGCTAGCGCTCTGCACTCCCAATGCAGGAGGCCCAGGTTCAATCCCTAGTCAGGGAACTAAATCCCACATGCCAAAACTACGAGTTTGCATGCCTCAACTAAAGATCCCACATGCTTCAATGAAGGTCAAAGGTCCTGCACATCACAGCTGGCATAGCCAAATAAATAAATAAATACCATTACTCCTATGTGGCTTTACCTAATCGTCACTCACCCACCCTGGATCCCAGATGAGCTCTGCGTTTTACCTTCTATAATGCCTACCTTTCCTCGTGGAACATTTATTGCCCTTGTTCTTAAAATTCATTTGTTATAGATGTCTTCCTCGCTAGACTATAAGCTTGCGGAGGGCAGAGGCAGCATTATCTTGTTCTTCTCTGTACTGTATTCCTAATTCCAAGCAGTGTCTCATTCATAATAGAGGTCAATAAATATTTGATGAAGAAAGAAAGTAGAAGAACGAGAGAAGGAAAGAAGGAGGAGGTCTTGCCCTGTAAGAACTGCCTCCCTTCCTTGGCTGTGTTAGTCGCTCAGTCATGTCCTACTCTGTGACCCCAGGCTCCTCTTTTTATGGGATTTCCCAGGCAAGAATGCTGGAATGGGTTGCCATTTCCTTCTCCAAGGGATCTTCCCGACCCAGGGATTGAACCCTATGTCTCCTGCATTAATGGCGGATTCTTTACTGTATGAGCTTCCAGGGAAGCCCCACCTGAGAAAACCACCTTCAGTAACACTAAGAAGGAATGGCATTTCATGGTAACTCATTCACTCCTCACAACACGATGAGGTGAGGCCATCAGTGGACCCATTTAAGGAATCTCAGGGTCAGAGAGCTGAAGCAATTTGTTCAAGGTCACACAGGTAACAAGTGACAGCATTAGG